TGAAGAAGGTGGTCAACGAGGGCAAGAAGATTCTGCACGACGCCGTCGAGCCCCCAAAACAGCCCGTCGCGAACCAGCCACCGAGTATCGAGAAGTGGCTCAACGGGACGGTCGACCCGTTTGTGGACCAGCCCAAGGAGGAGCCCAAAAAAGCGTCCGAGAAGAAGCCTGAAGAGCATCCCGAAAGTCGCAAACGGTCGGCCGAGCCGAAGAGGAGGTCATCGGCCCAGACCAAGACTGAGCTCTCCGAGGCGACCGACCTTACCCAGACGACACAGACGACCGACACCACGCAGACGACGGAGACGACGCAGACAACAGACTCCACACAGACGTATACAGAACTATCTACCGAACTATCGACCGATCTATCAACCGACCTCTCCACCGACCTGTCGACAGACTTGACTGCGTCGACGGAGAATGACGAGAACGTGGCCCCCACGGAGGGAAAGACGAAGGACAGCAAGCTCAAGGCGACGCCGACATCTGCAGGGCTGCGGAGGAGGGTCGCCACAAGGGGATCGATTTCACCCGTCAAGTCGGTGAAGAAGCCGTTCCGTGAGATTCTGAAGGAAGCATTCAGGGGAGAGTCGAGCGGCCACCAGACTCCCCCAACCAAGTACATTAGCGAGGAGGAGAGACCCCAAGCCCAGGAGGAGCCCGACGATTACGACGACGAGGAGGATGACTGGAGAACCCAACGCCGACGCTCCTCTGGCTCAGGCCGATCATACAGCGAACGCACGTACTCGGACGAGTCTTCGTACCGGGAGGACAGGTCGCCCACGCCACGACGGAAGCCGCCAACGACTGGCGTGCACGAATTGTCCACCATCCTCGGCTCTGCGGACACGTACAGCAACTACGAATCCGACATGACCTCCCAACTATCAGAAACCACCGTCACGCAGGGCACCGCGACAGACCTCACGCGGAGGCGGAGCAGCAGGTCAGGTCTCAAGAGGAGACTCACAAAGCATTCCGATCTCGTGTCGGTCCTGTCTCTGCCTGACGATAGCCAAGTGCCCGGCAGCTACAAGAGCGTCAGGTCGCGGCCGAGCGTCAGGAAAGCCGCCAACCGCCAGAACACAGTCACCAACAACGATCTGCTAAAGGAGTTCATCGACGACGAGAACTTGTACCAGAGGGAGCTCAAGACGCTGGTGGACGGTGTGATTCCCGTCCTGCTCTCGACCGTCCTCAACGACTCGGGCAGCACCGTCGGCCTCTTTGGCCCGGAATCGCCCAGCCGCAAGGCGAACAACATGTCAAAGTCGGTCGTCAACATGGGTGTCGCTTTGGAGAAGCTCAAAACCGCCCACAAGCGGGCGTCCCACACAGACATCAACCGCCTGATCTCGTGGCTGCAGGCAACCTCGCCCATCTACGACAGCTACCTGGACTCGTGGCGACTGGGCTTCCAGGATTTGATCGTCAACCTGGCCCCCGCCGCCGACCGCCTCGACGACGAGGATTCTCTCATCAACGCGCTCCCGCGCAACGCCGACGGCGACGTCGTTAATGAAGACGGAGAACGAGTCGACGTTGCGCACCTGCTGAAGCGCCCCCTTCTTCGCGTGCGGACTTTGGCGAAGTTGACAAAGGTATGACCGCCGATGCGTTAACGAACGAAGCTAACCGCAGCAGGGCCTCCACGCCGCCTTCAGCTCGTATGACACTCTCGCGCTGGTGGGCGACTATGACGCGCTGCAAGACAAGGCCCGCCGCCGGCACAAGGAAGAGTCGGCCCGCCTGGCGGACGAGGATGCCATCAACACGGACACGACCAGGATCCGCGACCTCCGCACACTCGCACCCATGGAGTCAATCAAGATCGATCCCAAGCGGCAAGTCAACGCCAAGGACCTCTTCTCCCTCAGCCTGACGCACTCCAACGGCCAGCGACTCGAGTGCCAGGTTGAGCTCGTCCACCGCGATCTCCCGGGTGCCCACAACGACAAGGGCGACCTCCTCATCCGCGAGACCGGGTCGGGCCGCCGCACGTGGCTCCTCTTCCCCCCGATGCCCATGACGGTGATCTCTGCGCGTCGGGGCGACGCACGATTCGAGCTCGTCTTGATGGTCCAGGGCACCCACAACGGCAGGCAGTGGTACGAGCTGCTCAGTCTCGTCACCGACAACGACGACCAGGTGGCGGACTGGCTCGGCATCGTCGGAACCACGCCCGTGCCGCCAAAGGAGCGCCTCCCTGCTGTGGAAGAAGTCCCAGAGTCCCCAACCCGGATGGACGTGCCAGTTGGTGGCCAGCTGTACGGTCGTGACTCCCCCGAGCCTCTTACGCCGAAACGGACAACTCCCAGCCGCTACCACAACCGCAGCACGCCCCCGCGCAGCCCGTCCCCCGAGCGAACGCCTACCCAAGAGTCTTACGAGGACCACAGGCAGAGGGCGCCCAACAGCACCCCCTATCGCGAAGACGGCGCGCCGCCGCCCCCGATCCATCGCTCGCTCAGCCCCAAGTCGCAGCAGCTGCTGCCCCCGGTCGACCTCCAGACTCCTCGCATGAAGCGACGCGGCTCGTCGCCCCTGAAGCACGAGTACCTGCCGTCGGAAGAGTCGTCCGACACGGCTGATTCATTCACCGAGACGTCCGAAAGCGAGACGGAATCAGACTGGGAGTCGTCCGAGGACGAGTTCGACGACGACATTCCCGAGACCGAGATCGGCTTCAGCATTAGAGAGCCCGAGCCAGAGCCGTACCGGGAGGTTGAGCGTGAGCGTCCGGCGCACAAGCCTTACCATCTGGACAGAGAGCCCGAGCCGTACGAGGAGGCTGAGGAGGAGCCATACCAAGAGCCCGAGTCGGAATTGGGGCCGCTCCCTCGCACGTTCAACGACAACTTTGCCCAAGAGTCCATGGTCTCCTCCGTGTGCAGCCTCACGCCGTCCAACTCCGCCTCCCAGGCCGGCCTCCACGGCCGCAAGACGTCCGAAAGCTACTCCAAGTACATTGCGTCCATCTCGTACTGGAACGAAAAGAAGGGCCAGTGGAGGGACATCTCCGTCGAGCCGTGCTCCATCCAGGTCGCGGCCGGCGTCATCGAGGCCTTCTCCCTGGTCATCAGCCCCGGCGGCAACCCCGACCTGCCTCTCCTCTCGCTCGAGCTCACCCCCCTCGTGCTCCTCCGCCAGTCCACCGTCGTCGATCTCGAGATTCGCTCGGCTGTCAAGGACAACTGCAAGAACAAGAGCATCGGCGGCGGCAACTTCCGCTTCCGCTGCCCGTCCAGCACGGAATGCTTCAACCTATACATGGCCGTCCACCACGCGCGCCTCAACAACCAGAAGTTCATCCAGCTCGAGAACGAGGCGCGCTACAAGTCGTTTGGCGAGCGGCCGTCCGAGGAAAGCGAAGACACGAGCAGCCGCCGCCGCAGCTGGTTCGGACGAAAGAACAGCTACCGCGCGTCGACCCGCGCCCCGTCCCAGTCCCAAGACGGCAGCACGCCCTCCTCGAGCCTCTCGGCCTCCAGCTTCCTCAAACGCCTCACCGGCACCGGCACGTTCAACATTGCCAGGTCGTCCATCGACAAGCAGCACCCCTTCTCCGGCAACAACAGCCTCTACACGTCCGACTCCTCCTCGTACGGCTACCCCCGCTCGCCGTCCATCAGCATGTACTCGTCCTCCGGCCGCAGCCCCCCGTCGTCCGACAACATGAAAATCCGCCTGCACCTGCTCGTCACCTCGACCAAGTGGGAGGACTACGGCAACTGCATCCTGCAGGTCCGCCGCCCGCCGCCCGGCTGGCACCAGGACCTCCGCGCCAACCACGGCCTCGAGAAGCGCGTCACCGTCACGACGATGCCCAAGAAGGACAAGCCCCGCATCGTGCTCGACGCCGTCCTCGGCAGCGGCTGCTTCACCCCCATGGGCAGCAGAGGCATCGTGTGCGGCATCTGGGAGGAGCTCCGCGACGAGCGCGGCGAGATCGGCGTCGCCCCAAAGACCGGCGGCGCCTCCGGCTCCGTGAAGAAGTGGTGCTTCCAGTGCGCCAGCGTGTCGGAAGCCTCGTGGGTGCTCAGGCTCGTCCACCAGGAGGTGGAGCTGCGAGACTAAATTCTTTCTGTTTTTTTCTCTCTACTTTTTGTGATTCCCCACGAGCCGCACCGGCTCCGTTTTTTGCATGCCGGGCTACGGCCTGGCTTTTGGGTGGCATAGCGTTATGGTGTTGGGACCATGGGAGGGGGAATATACAAGGGTCATGATACCGAAGTCCATTTGTGTTCAATAGTGTATAGAAATTCGATTTGCCGTTATTTGAGAGAACGGTCGCCCGTTCAGCGCAGGCCTTGTATTGTCGAAAGGTGTAGTGCTTCTCAACAAGGAACTTGACGCAGTGGGTTAACCCACAACTACTTGCAGATGAGACTCATCGACCGACGCAGAGTGTGCCAGTTCGAGCGCCCAGGATGGCAGACTGCCAGTTATGGTAACTTACCTGGGTGAGTTCGACTAACGATTGTAGCCCTTAGCAACTCAGTGCTCTAATTTTTGCTCCCATATGCTTTGACTTTGTTTAATATACTGAGGGTGGATGCATTAGTTGCTCTACGTTAAATATCTATATCGTTCTAGTAGCGATCTAATTATTTGCTATATATATAAGCTGCCTACTAGTAGACCTTTAAGTGCTTTTAGATTTAAGATAATAGTAAGATGAGCAGAGATAATAGTAATGAAAATAAAGGTAGAGATGAAGATAACGAAGATGGTGAGGATGAAGGCGAGGAGGACGAGGGAGGATAGGGACGATATAGACTGATAAAGATAACAATAATTGAGATCAAGAAAGAGACGACCGACGACGATAAAGATCAAGATAATAACGTCCAAGACGATAAATAAAGACAGAGACGACATCAGGAGAGGCGGCTTAACATAAGCCGGCACCTCGTCTGTTTATTTTACGCTCCGCCTCGCCAGACTCACCTTGAACCTTTCCTTCACCACCCCACATCCACAAAAAAATCAACATGGATTCAGAAGTCAGAGAGACCCTAAAAAAGGCTGAGAAGTCTCTACAGGGTCTTCTGGCCTTGCCAGACAAGTCTGGAGTTGATCTACAAACCAAAGTCCACGCATTATCGACATGGATCACTCACCTGCAGACAGTGGTCGAAACCCTGCAAAAGGCTGGCACCGAAAGCGAACGCTTGGAGGCCACGACCAAAAAGTCTATGCAAGAGACGGTCCAGCCGATCGCAGACGACCAGCGCTTCATCAAGGAGTGGACGGAAGCGATCGACAAGGAGCTGCCCAAGCTCCAGCGCCTCGAGGATCTCTCTACGCAGAAATCCTTTGACACTTTGGGTGAGAAAATGAAGGAGCTGAAGACAGTCTTAGACACGCTAGGTGAGAACACGAAGGAGTTCTCTACGCAGAAATCCATCGACACTTTGCATGATCAGGCGAAGGAGCTAAAGAAAGCCTTGGAAAATGTACAGGAGCAGGCGAAGGGTCTCTCCACGTAGAAATCCTCGGAAACGTCCCGTGGAAAGGAGCGCTCGCTCCGGGACGTCGCACAAACGCGCGCTGCACAGGCCGAATCCGACAAGCAGAGCGCCGTCGAGACAGCCGAAAACAAAGTCTCGACATTGCAGTCACGCCTCGGCCCGTTGGAACAGTTCAAACAGAAAGCGATCGAGCACGCTGCTGCGGCGGACGCAGCTGCCCACGAGCGGCGCCAACGCATCCAGCAATTGGAGCAAGAGGCCAATGGTTTGCAGACTCGCAACGGCGAGCTCACAAGCACGCTCACCGAGCGAGAGACCGAGATTGCCAAGCTGCGGAGTATCATAGGGCAAGCAACGACCGAGCGCCTGACGACCAACGAGGAGCTATCAAGACTCCAAGGGGTCGAGATCAGTCTAAGACAGGAGGTTAGCGCTCACGAGGGAACCATCTCAGAGCGCAACGAGCAGGTGAAGGATCTCAAAACCGATAAGACTAACCTGGTCAAGTATGCGACAGAGCTCAAGTCGGACAAGGACACACTGACCCAGGCTAACATCAAGCTCGAAACCGACAAGGACAAGCTCAAGGGCGAGGTTGCAGGGCTCAAGCAACAGCTAACCAAGTCGGAGGGTTTTGCCGCGCAGTTCAAAGCCGACAAGGACAGGCTCGAGGGCGATATCAAGGAGCTCAAGCAGCAGCGTGTGAGTTCGGATCCCGAGCAGCTTGCCACGGATTGGACCAAGGCCTCAAGCAAGGTCAGCGAGCGCCTGGCCTCTTTCAGCATCTTTGACGACGGACGGCACGACAACGCGGACGAGATCGTGGAATCTCTCGCATTCATTGCCGGAGACGACGAGAAGTGGGCGCGCTTCGCGCAGTTCGTCGAGCTCGCAAAGCACAACGAGGCTTACTGCGTGTACCAGATGATCGACGATAACGACTGCCAGCAGCCAGACCTCCTCGTGAGAGGGGTCCACAAGTGCACTTATCACTCGGCTCATGGTGGATATTGCTACAGGGCAAAGTGTGTCATGAGGAATGACGTGAAGGAGTTTATCATTGGGAAGAAGAGGCCAGCGCTGCGTGTATAACGCCAACGAGCGTGGTTTAGAATGTGTAGATAAGGTTCTAAATTGACTGTCTACAACTACTTGGGTCTCCACGTGAATGTCTCGACTTTACAAGTAACGTCCTTCTACACTTACCCGAATGTTGCCGTAGCCACCAATGTAGGCGTCGATGTATTAGTCGCTATTGTCGTCATCTAGAGAGTTGTCATCAAACGGCCTCTTGCAGTGTGAGCAGACAATTCGCTGTGCCGGTGCATGAAATACATCCACTGTGTCTGCCACGATCTTGGATGCCATTGCGCTCGTCACTCGCTCCTGCTCTTCGTCAAGCGCTTTGTGTCGCATTTCACTTTTATTTTTCACCTCAACAACTCACCACCCAGGCAAGGCGCAACACCAACCAGCGCCATGTCTACAGCAACGGGCGCGGGCCAGCGGCCCAGCCTGTACGACCAACTAAAACTCAATATGAAGACAACAAGTTTGTTTGACATGGTCAAGAATTTTGCCCAAATGAAGAGGGAAATGTCTAAGATCACCTCGGGAATGGACGACCTGGCCAGGGCTCAAGGCTTCTGCCGATGACCGACAGCCAGCCCGACCTCACGGGAGAGGAGACCGCCAAGCAGCATTGCGCTCTCGTGGAGACTCTACGAAGTTCCAGCACTCGACACCGCGAGTTGAGAGAGGCAGTCGAGAAGAGGGGGGCTGGTCCAATCCGCGTTGTGGTAGTTGCCCAACTGGCGGATCGTGTCGTGCAGAGGCCATGGCATATTCGCGCTGATCAGGTCGTTGACCAGGTCTGGGAAGCACAGAGGCAGCTCGTCAAGCGAGTCGTCGCGCTCAAGAGCTGTCAGCATGCTCTCTCTGAGAGGATCCATTAAGGGCGTCGAAGCTTGGGACCCGGAGCGGCTGGCTCAGCACGCCATCTGCGGCAACTGCGGTCATACAGGCCACTTGCTTGTGGATTGTGCGTTCCCTGACGACAGCGGCTTCGTCAGCGGCTGTCCCGTGTGCAACACGAAGCTGCACAACGCCAACGACTGTCTCCGTGTGCAACCTCTCAGCCCGCGAGACTTGGTCTCTTTCATCATCGTCCGCCGGGGAAACAAGCCGCCTCTGCGATGTCGGGATCCGTGGGTGCGCATCTTGAGACGGGCGATCGATGGTCGAGGGCCCGCTGCCTTGGACGATCGCGTTCACGAGGGACATGATCGAGGGTACTGAGAGGGATAAGGTCTGGCTCGAGCATCACTATTTCGCCGGCGACTATCAGACCCTGCCCGAAGACAGCACGACCGGCTCAGACATCGACGGCGCAGCCGCAAACGACGACCTTCTATCTCAGTGCCACAAGCTGAACAAGGACATTGACTAAGGAGGGTGGGCAAAGCAGAAAGCCTGTCGACGACAGGCTCATTTCAAGGTCGGGGTGTTTCGGCAGAGGTTAGCCTTGACAAGGCTGTCATAGATATCTGAATTAGAAATTCAATGCTGTCATCCGCGTGTATTGCTCAATAAATCATGTGTTGTGCTGCTTTTCCACTTGTTACTGAGTGGGCTTAAAGCTTCCACTTCATGAGAGACGTGCAGAATTCGTAGTCTTGAAGCGTAGTACCTGACCATTTCCATGGCTGGCTGGCAGTGAGTTCTGCTGTCCCGTTTGCCCAACACCTGCGTGTAGCCCCTTATAGGTTGCGTAGTTGCCTAGCTTTTCAATAATCCGGAATCTGGCCCAGTGGGTTAGCCCATCGCTTGGAACCAGATGAGACTCATCGCTAAGTGTCGATAGCGCGCCAGTTCGAATGCAGACTGCAATTCTTTCTTTGTTTCTTTCTCTCTTTTGAATCTTTATTTTTCGCTTAGCCACACATGAGAACACACCTTCTTATTAGCTACCCGACTGGGGCCCCGTCATACTACGCAGCTCTGGTATAGAGACACGATTCCGTTATCATACTACTACGCTGCGGGCATCGCGAAACGTTCAGGGCTCCAAGTAACTCCGTCGTGATCGACACCTAGATCAGACAGTGCCCTTCCCCTAAGCACATGACGTTACGAACAAGCATCCATGTCTAGACCATCACTCTGCCATTGCAACATTATACTTCACGTGGAATATTTCACGAGTAAGCGTATGAGATCTTGTACAATACTCTGACATTCCCTATGCTATATGTCTTGTCACTGTCAGTGACACTGCCTGCCTCCTCGCTACCATGTCTTCACTGTCAGTGAAATGTAGCTAGACGACGTCGTCGTCATCGAGGGTGACGACTTGCAGGAAGCATGGTTCCCAGAAGTCGATGCAGTTGGGAGGTCCATGGAACCGCGCAACCGATGACCAGTTGGCTCGAAGGAACCGCAGGACACTACGATCGTCTTCCAGCTCGTGCCACCCAGCCCGGAATCTCGCCGGCGCCTCGGCCGCGTCCGGTTCGTCGAGATGGCGGAGACAACGACCTCCCCCGAGACTCCTGCAGACAGAGCGTCCAATTCCAATGCCGCGCCCTCGGGGTCAGGATCGTCAAGATGGCAACGCCCGTCGAGATGATCTTCCAGCAGGCGCAAGAGCAAATCTTCCAGCCGCGTCAACACGGCCCACAGCAAGCTCGCGGCAGCCGCCAATGCCGTAGAAAAGCCTGCATGGACACGATGTTTCGGGGAGCGATTCACGCAGTTCATCGAGCTCGCAAAGCCCAACGAGGCTTACTGCGCGTTCCAGATAGTGGACGAGCAGCGCATCAGGAGGTTTACAAATAGTCTGCCACGCAGTAGATTACAATAGAGCAAGTTCTCATGGCAATGTATGAAATGTGATGTGATTGTGTCTCTGAGTGACTGGCCTCGACATTGCGTGTAGTTCGTAAATGTGCAGCGTAAATGTTGTTGCTGTGGGGAAAATCCCTGCTGCATTGGTCGCTGCGTGTCTAGGACCCCTTGTCACATACCCTGCTAGCCCGTACCCGTACGGGTCGGCCCGCATTTAATCACAAACGTTCATTTCATTAATCTTCGTCTATCTTATCAGTTATTTATAAAAGCAAACGCCAACCCTGCAGCGTCAAGGCTCCCTCCCTATGAATAGTGCATCCTGAGACGGAATCCTTCAAACGACGGGTGAGGCAGCTGCTGAAAGGCCGCGATGGCATCGGCAAGGTCGTCCTGCTTCTGCTCCGCAGACTTGTCAGCGGTTTGCGGCTCATCAGAGCTGTCCCGTTCGCTCAACTCGTCAGCCGCCGACCTGTCGGACCCCCTATTCGGGGCTTTTCCCTTGATGAGGTCTTGCTGAAAGTTGCGACGTTTGAGATCCCGGACCTCTCTCCTCAACTGAATGACCTCCTCGTTTACCTCCTCGAGCTCGTTGACCTCGGCTTTGGGCACCGTAACCATCTCAGGCTGCGGCGGTGAAGACTCTTCCTCTGGGGATCGCGGCGACGAGGGCGTGTCCATGCCGGCAATGCGCTTCTGCTTGTTGACTTCTTTCGCGGCTTCACGGCGGACGGCGAGGATGTCGCGCTCCATGTATTCGGGGAGGCTTTTCTGGCTTGGCAGCTCGCTGCCCGAGCCCTTTCTCGAGGTGACAAAGCTGTTGTAGAGCTTCGTCATTAGGCCCCACGTCGGGAGCCCGCCCATGTGCGTCATGCCGTCCAAGGCCTGGATGACATTCATGGTGTCGGTCCTGTGAACCTTGTACGGGTGAGAAGGGAAGCCATCGTTGGGGTCTACCGGGTCAGTGGCCTGGGCGACTGCCTCAAGCGAACGAAGAAAGTTGGAGAACATGCCTGGATCGATGCCGTCCTTCAGGAGACTGTCGCGCGTCCGCTGGTGGAGGTGCTTGATGGGCGTGCCGAGTCCCTTGTCCTCCTGAATCAGCTCCATGAAGCGCGTGAAGAGGGGATCCCCGGTCGGGTTCTTCAGCGGCCAGTCCTGCCAGTCCTTGTGCCGCAGGATCGAGGCGTACTGCAGCGCGATGACAACAAGCCCCGGCTTCCCCTGCAGAAGCGGATGGTAGAGCAAGTGCGTCAGCTCCGTGCAGAATCCGTTGGTCCAGCCGGGCCGCATTGTGCCTCTGTTGATGGCTTCGTTGAGCGCGTCGTCGTATTCCAGATGGTTGGCCTTGGAGATGAGCTGGCGGGGCGTCAACTTGCAGAAGCGGATGCATGCCTTCCACATCTTCAGGATCTCGACAACGAACTTAATCTGGATGTCACGGTCGGGATCCGCCTTCCACGCCTTGACCAGTCTCTTTTCATCCTTCGCCGACCAGCCTTCGTCGAGCACTGGCTTCTTCGGGATGATGGCGTCCAGCTCGTCCTGCGTCACAAAGTGATAGTGATTCATGAAAAATTCGTTGATTTCGCTAAAGTCACTGCTGTTCTGGTGGCTCTCCTGTTCCTCCCAGAATTTTTGGTCAGCTTTGGACCACACGACCGCTGTGTCTTTGGGCCTGGCCGTCTTCTTGGTTGGGGTCTTGGCTGGGGTTGCATTCTTCTTCGTGGAGTTTCCTGTGCCCTTCTTTGAGCCACTAACCTTCTCGACGACCTCGACTTCGTCATCTTCAAGTTCTTCCTCTGATTCGTCTTCATCTCGCTCTTCCTCTTCCTCATCCGAGCCGAGATCGTCGTTGCGATCCGCGCTCTCATTTTCGGCCTCAGCCGCTTCCTGGAGTTTTTGCTTTTGGCGCTTTTGAGCCCTCTTGGACGGTTTGGGCTTCGGGGCGGCGCGCTTGCCAGTGGCGGTTTTGGGCGGCATCTTGGGTGATACTGACGGTGTGTGTATGTGGGTGGGTGAGTGAGGAGGAAAGATTCGGGGTGAGAAGCGACGCTTTAGGTAGATACCGCGGTCGGTGGGGCAGAGCGGTGTGTCTGTACCCTCGGACGCGTGCAGCAGGCGGCCTTTTCTGCTAGCGTCTTGTTAAAAACAATCAGGGTGAGTCTGGCGGGGCACGGCAAATACCTAGGTACCTTACCTTACCTAGGTACTTTAGGTAGGTAAGGTAGGTTGAGTTCAAGCCTGGGAGCGTGGTGCCGAACGCATGGTCTGTGCTGCAGGGCTGGATGTGAGATAAGCGAAGTAGTAGCGTCGATCTGTGCCAGGGCATCGATGCCAGTCCCTGCATTAGGTACCTACCTAGGCACCTAACTACCTAGGGAACGTCGCCGCCCCTAACGCTAACGTCTTAAAGGTTGCCCATCGCCCGTTGCCAGTTGCCTGGGATCAGCGTCAAATGCGTAAGTATCCTTGACTTCATATCAACCTCTTATTACGATAATATCACAGGGGCTGGTGCCTCTTGAGAAAATACAACCGCCTTGAGTACAAGCCGCCGCAAAGTAAAGGCATGCAGTTGCTGGATTCTGGAAACACTCAAGGGCAGCTTCATATGTATTTTAATAGGTCAGCTTCAAAGGCCAACCTGAGCCTGTGTAGATACTTAAATGCTTCCTGGAGTGATCTAAAAGCATGCCCACAGCGAACACCACCTTTGTGAAGTAGGACATAGTGTAAACGGAATCTCGTCTTCTAAATTCCTAAGGTTCACCTCTGGCGTGGCCTTTCAGCGTGGGCCCACATTTAGATCAAGCGAGCTTGCCCAAGTGTTTGCTTGCTTGAATTATCTTCGCGAAACCCAAACCACCGACAGCTCTCCTCTATCCTTCCTCCTCACAACATCAACAACCGAGCCGACGCCACAACACAAAAGCTCCGAATAATGTACAATCCATCCAACTACCAAAGCCACTCTGCAGGCGTTCCAATGACGAATATGGGTCAGCCAGGACAGTTCCTCGTCCCAAACGGGCAAAGCCAGGTAAGTTTCACCCGAATTAGGAGTTAATCGCAGTTTGCTGACCAGATCGCAACAGCCGACGGCTGCTAACGCTGCCGCCCCCATGGCTCATCATCCTGCACCATGCGAATACGCCGCCCCCCAGGCACAGTCGACGTATGACACTGGTCCCGGACCATCGCAGCCGACAGCTGTCTACAACGTCCATCATGCGCCGCAACATCGGCAGCATCCTGCTCAGGCCCCTTTGCAGACTCTGTATCAACAGCCCCCTGCCCCGGCTCAGTACCAGCAGCACCCTGCCCCGGCCCTGATGCAGGCTCAGTATCAGCCGCCTATTCTGCAGCATCTAGTCCAGGCTCAGCAGCCCCTCGCCCAGCCCCCTTGGCAGGCTCAGTATCAGCAGCCTCCAACCCAGGCTCAGTATCAACAGCCTCCAGCTCAGGTACATTACCAGCAGCCTCCTACACAGGCTCCATATCAGCAAGGACCTGCCCAGACTCAGTACCAGCAGCCTCCCTCTCAGGCTCCATACCAGCAGCCTCCAGCACTGGTGTATCAACAACTTCCTGCAGCGCTGTACCAGCAACCTCCTGCGCCGCAATACCAACAGCATCCTGCACAGACTCCATATCAGCAACTACCCTTCCAGGCTCAGTACCAGCAGGCTCCTCTGCAGGCTCCGGTCCAACCTCCTGTCCAGGCCCCGTTGCAGCCTCCCTACCAGCAGCCTGTTGCCCAGGCTCAATACCAGCCCCTTCTTCACCAGCCTGGGTATCAAGTGATTCCGAATCAAGTGATTCCGATGCAGCCAGGGCCCCAAGTTACCCCCGCGCAGACTGCGCGTCAGACACCTCCATTCCAGTCTGCTCTAACAGAGCGTCAGACTTATCCCACACAGCCTGGACCTCAAGAGACCTCCGCCCATCCGGGACCCCAAGGCATTCCAGCGCAGACTGCGCTTCAGCCTGCTCCCATCCAGCCTCCCCCTGCCCAGCCTAGGTATCAAGCAACCGCCACGAAGGCAGTATCCCAAGGAGTTCCAGCTCACAGTCAGACTGCGCCTGAAACTGCCTCCCGACCTGCTCCTCGAGAAACTCCCATGCAATCTGCTCCACTTCAGTCCGCCGAGGACTGCCTGACTGATGAGGCGATCGCGGCCATGCACGCAGAGGCACGACCCATCAACGAGGAACGGGAGATTGGTCCATGTGCTGCGTCCAAAAAGCACAGGCAATGCAAGAACAAAGCTTCTGCCAGCCAAAATCGACGGAAGAAGGCTGTCCAGCGTGGCATAGAAGAAGCCTGGGATGATACTGATAGAGTACGCCGACCAACTCAGACGGAGGCCATGAAGAAGACCAGCTGCGAGAATCTGTCTCTAAAGGTTCCAGTTCGTCATTCTAGGGGCGGAGTCTATGGCGAAGTCAACCGCGACGACAGCTCCCTCTGCGGCCCTTGCACTGTTTCCCAACGGTTCAAGGAGGAACCCTGCGACGAGCACTTTGGCCACGACCAGCGAGTGGGACTACAATTCCAGGGACTCCCAAGCCCTGTAAGGCAGAGGTTTAGCAGGATGTAGGGATGGTGTGTTCATAGTTAAATTCAGTTTTGATAGAAATTGAAGAACATGAATGCTCACTTTCTTTGGTGACTTTTGGACATTCTGAATCTGCGTATCCGTGACGGAAAGGGATTCTAACGGCGGCTTCGCTTCTTCAGTAAATAAGTTCTAGAAGCTGAAACATGCCCCAAATCAACTCACCAGCTAGTTATCTGTTTATCATCTGCTTAGAAGTGTACGGATGTTGTACAGAAGATGGGACAGTCTTGCAACTAGTTGACCGTCTGCCCGGTCGTTTACAAGCGCAATACTTTCTTCAAGTACGGTGCATCTCCCACGCGAAGCACTACGTTGGAACATTATGTGAGAAATAGAAGATGGCTGCGGACAGCTTACGCTATGCTATACATGTTCAAAACGGCCAAGTCAATCTGCGTGTAACATCTCCTGACATGCCTGTCTTGAGGCAGCTGTGATGTAACCTGTCGATGAATTCGACTCGGACTGTGATATGTGCTAGTTCAACGCCGCCCTGCTACCTTCAAGTAGGAGAAATAACTTCTGAACATTCACATGCAGAACCCAAAACAGTTGCAAACACACGGGGCAGTCAGTTAATGAGCCTATCTAGGTTCTCCAGCTAAACTACGCTCCCTGGCGGATCCAGCGTCCAGTGCGAGGACGACCCGCGTAGATTGGTCTGAGCATCATCACCAGCGTATTATGAGCAGAATACCTCAGCGCAGCCCTTTACCAGCTCAGTAGGCAGCCCAAGTCTTCAACAACCAGGAATCTGGCGCAGTGGGTTAACCCACAGCTCAGTACCAGATGAGACTCATCGCCTAGCGTCAGTAGCGTGCCAGTTCGAATGCAGACTGCAATTCTTCTTGCTTCCTTTTTGCTGCTATGAAGTGAACAACAGTCATTCCACAGAAACTCTGGGCTTTTATTAACTTCCCTTATTAGCGACCTTTAGATGCGAGGTCTGCCATCTGGGCTCTCTTACATCGACTTACCCCGCGAATCCACATCACATGCACAACCTTCATGCCCACCAAACATAAACGTCAATTCATCTATCACTGGTATCATTCAGCCCATCATCTCCTCGTCCTCATCACCGCCGCCGCCCATCTTCCGGCGCAGTCTCACGGCGTCCTCGTCCCGCTTCCTCCGCTCGAGACCCTCCTTGATCCACGCATCGTACTCGGCATCGCCCTTGTCAATCTTTTGCGCGACGACGCCCTTGAGAACCTCGCCCGCGAAGCCCACAAAGTTGTGCCGGCGGAGGGCGTTCTCGAAGCGCCAGTTGCGGCGCTTCTCGTTCTCGCGCTCGAGCGTCTCGGCGTCGCCAATCTCGCGCGCGGCGATGCGGGGGTCGCGCACCATGGCGAGCACGTTGAAGCGGATCTCGGAGCTGGCGTAGGTGAGGACGCGCTCCTGCAGGATCTGCATGACCTTGGCGGGGAAATTATCGGTGTCGCAGGGGCCGTGGGAGATGGGGGCGGGCTGCAGGCCGTCGAGCTCATACAGCTTGCCGTTGATGGGGGTGTATGCGATGAAGTGGAAGGCGTCCTCGGCCTCGCCCGTCTTTTGCGTCTCGTCGACGAAGGGACTGCTCTTGGCGAAGCTGTTGTGGACGTCGCGGATGAGGTCCGAGTTGCTGAGGGCCTCGCCGCGGAACTCGGGCGGCAGCACCATGGTGAAGTCGCGGAACTCTGTGAGCTTGTCGCCAATCTCGACGTCGGCCGTCTTGTTGAGGACGACGCTCAGGAGGGCTTGCGTGCCGCAGGCGTTCTGGATGGTTTGCTGGGCAAAGAAGATTTGTTCGGCGGCATCGCGGTCGAAGGATTCGGGCGCACGCGCGGGCAGGCCTTCGGATGGGTAGCGGAAGAGGAAGATGATGCCGTAGACGGGCTGGAGAGGGGCCAGCTCGTCGGGGGAGAGCGTCAGGAGCTCCTCAAACTGGACGCCTTTGACGCCGAGGTTCTCGAGGAGGTAGGTGAAGACACCCTGGGCGGTTAGCTGGGTCGTCAAGAAGGACGTCGTTCACATACTGCGTCGGACTCGACTGCAGGAGTTAGCTGGGTTGGGCATCAGAGGCGGTGTCCTTACTCGTGTTCCATCCACTCATCTTGACGGTTGTTGAGGCTTGGAGTGAAGGACGATTGAATTTCCCGGCAAGCACAGTTGACGTAGGAGCTTGGGTGGGTCGCTGTTGCTTCAGTGGGGCGGACCGGGGTCAAAGATCCGCCGAATGCTTATCGCATGGGCTTATCGGTACAAACAGACGTGATATATCAATCATTTGCTATCTACAACTAATGTCCATGATCCGTTGTACAATTAAAATAACCCTCGACAGACAAATCATTGCACAGAGCGCGGTGTGACGGCGCGCTGTGGGATAGTCACCATTGCGACACCCTCCTTCTGGTCCGACGAATCCAGGCGCGAGCTCGTCCGGAACGAGCTCTCATGGTCGGGGTCTTGCATGTTGAACGAACGCTTACTGTCGGCATCTGCATGGCCGAAGCAGCCTTGAGCGCGTACAGCGCGAACGAACCAGGGCTGCTTGCCAGAGCCCTTCCAAGACCAGTATTCCTTCATGTCATACTCACGAGGCTCCAGCCTGCCGCCAGAGAGCCAAACAGTCAGAGCGATGAGGCCGTTGAGGACGGTGTACACAAAGACGCCCCTGGTCATGTTAGCAGTGAGCGGCAGACGGTTTGGGAGACTTACGCAATGAGACCGTAGGCCACGCTGTAGGAGAAGGGGATAAAGGTCATCACCACAAACGAGGGAAGCACGTCGCCTATGTAACGCCAGTTGATCTGAGTGATTTGGCGAATCATCATGCAGCCAACCAAAACGAGCGTGCAGCCGGTTGCCCAAGGAGGAATGGAGGCGAAGACGGGGGCGAAAAAGATGGAGATCAGAAAGCAGAGTCCCGTGGTCATGGCCGTCAGACCGGTGCGACCACCCTCGGCGATGCCCGCGCCGCTCTCGATGAAGGCGGTGACGGGCGAGCAGCCGAACAGAGCACCGATGGAGATGCACGCAGCGTCACAGCAGTAGGCGATGGTGGACCGAGGGAAGTCGCCGTCCTTGGGGTCGACAACGCCGCAGAAGCGAACCATGGAGTAGAGAGTGGCCGTGGCGTCAATGATGTCGACGTACAGAAAGGTGAAGAGAGCCAGGGCGAACTGCGAGCCATTCTTGGCGACGTCCCAGTCGAGAGCATTCAGAGTGTTCCGGATGGGATGGAAGGAGACGACGTTCTTGAAAAAGTCGAAGCGAGCGTCGCCCTCCTCGGTGTAGGGGAAGTAGGTGATGGCGGTGTTGCGACTGACGGGTCAGCCAGATTCAAGCACAGAATGGACAACTTACGGCCACGAGAGAATGGACACCAGGGCGATGCCGATGATGAGGGCGTACTTGACGCGGAACGACATGAGGTAGGCTGTGACGACGCCGCCGGCAAAAATGGCAGTCCACATCTATAGTCGTCAGCTACACCTCTTGTTTCGTGCGGGGCTCCTCACCTTGGGACTTGACATGAGCCCTCCCTTGCACATTTGCGACGCAGGGTCAATCATTTCGATCGGGCATCCGGCAATGGCCAGAGGGGTGGCTTTCCAGCCGCCCGTGATGGCACCGATGCCGGTCGAGTACGAAAGGCCAATCTCCGTGAGGAAGAACCCGATGCCGACTCCGGTTGCCGTCTTGATCGTTGCGGGGATGAGCTTGACGAGCCACTGACGCATTCCGGTGAGGGCGAGGAAGATGAAGATGAGACCCTCGACAAAGACTGCCGTCAGGGCGACCGAGTACGGGATGTTGCCGGAGCCGTTGGGGCCGACGACTTGGAAGGCGAAGTAGGCGTTGAGGCCCATGCCGGGACTGGAAACGTTAGTCGGTGTCTAGCGTGCGTGCGAGGCCACTTACGCCAAGGCCACGGGCAGGTTGGTGAAGAAGCCAAAGATGAAGCTGGCAAGGCCGGCGATTGCGGCAGTCGCAGTGATCAGATCGCGTCGAACGTCTGAAAGATTAGCAGAGTTCGAGGCTCGGACGCAGTCACTCACCCTCCTTGCACGCCTTGTAGGCGTCAATGGTATCGCAGTCAGCCCTGTTTTCCAGGTCGCAGACGCAATTACCACCGGTCTGCGAGAGAATGATGGCCTGTCTCGTCAGCAAAAGTCTTGGAGGGCGCAATGCCACACTCACGTTGACTGCAATGATGTATGCCATGGTCGCGAACGTAGTGGCTCCGGCGCGAATTTCCCGTAGGAACGACGAGTCGGGGATCTCCTTAGGCTGCTGACGGTTAGCACCCGCATCCCCAGCGACGGAAGAGACCTACGTGACCGCTCCCTTCCAATCTGAAAATTCGTCCAAAGGTAGAAGACGAAATCATCTTGTCGAAGCGATCGACAGCCTTCCACATGCCGCGGAACTTGGGATGGCCACGGCGGACGGGGGATCCAACGGGCGGTTCAGCTTCCAAACGCTCCATGTTGGAGTGTGTAGACATGTTGCTCATGGTGGAAGAAGGAGAGTCGGTGGGCGAACAGCCAGTCGACTCGGGAAATGAGAGGAAGAGAAGAGGAGGTGGTGACACAAGACTCTGTACAGAACAAGGTTCTGATGTCTTGAACGTGTGCGAGGTGAATAGAAAGAGGCCGCGATCGAGGCGAAAAAGAGAGGCAGGCGGCGGGTGTTGAATCTTGGGGGAGCAGCGCTGCACCGTTGAAAAGAAAAAAAAAGGAGCGTTGATGAGGCGATCGGGAAAGGGCAACAGTGGCAGGAACAGATATATCCTTGCTTCGTCTACGGCGATCCCCTGGCAACTGGGCAACAGCGCCGGTGAAAGAAGGTGTGTCAGTGTTTCTTTTCCCATGCAGCGCCAATGCCGCGTGGAGGTGGGGACGGGAGAGAAGGTCCAGGCCGCCACACTGGCGGCTACCTTATCCAGCTGTCCACGTTCTGGCAGGTGCTAGCTTACTCCATTGGCCACCTGAGGTAAGAAAGCCTCCTTTGGCTCGATAAGGGGACGTCTGGAGGCGTGAAGCTGATTGCCGTCAAAGGAAGCAACCGCTTGAATGCGAGAGGTGCTCAGCGCCACTGCCCAAACGGGGAGAGGAAGGCACGGTGACAACCACCGACCTGGAAAGCCCACCAGAACGGCGCCTGCCCTAATCGGCTGATATCGCCAACTTCTCCTTGAACTCGCACGCCACTCCTACCGGATATCGCTCTCGTACGAGAGGTCAGGCGTCGGGAGAGCGACAACAGGTCGACTCTGGACGAACTCCATCTGTGCGCGACGCCTCCAAACCTTCCCTCAGCCATCGCCTTAAACATACGCCAGGCCTGATTAGCAGCGACGCTCGGGCTGCTGCCGACGAACGAGCCAGCATCCGAACCTGGCCTCGACCTCGTTAATACAAACTCTATTCTGAGTGGTGTGTTCGAGATAACCTCACATCAACTCACTCGCTGGGCAAGTCGAAGCCGTCGCATCCCAAAGTTCCTCCAGCTGACCTCTTCACCTCAACCGGCATCGCGCTGACGTCTACTAAGCAATAGCGGTATCCGCGCAGGCAGGCGAAAGACAGACGATCAATTTCCTGCAGGTTGCCGTGCCGTGTTAGACAGCGCAAGCGAAACATGTCTTGAAGCTCCTTGATAGGACCGCCAAGGCAGGCCATCGGTACTATGCATTTTATGCGGGAAATTTGTCGCCTACCAAGATTGGGCCTGTGACAATTGCCTCCTTTTCTTGCGTCAGACACTCGCAATGTTCCATCTGTTCCCGGCTGACCCTGCCTGTCCTACAGTTGTCCGTCGTCGGCCAGTCTTCTCGCGAACCCTCAAGACATGCACGTCGCACCTTCTCATGCACTGCTACGCATACATAAACCGCTCTGTCCCTCGCTCTCCGGAAGCACCATCACGACGCCAAAGTTTAACGGGTTGGGCCTGCTCCACGTGGTTATCGTCTTTGTAAGCTCGCCTGCCCGTGTTGGGCGTCGGGCAACACTACCAATTGAGGCGTCAAACTTGTCGTCGACTGTTGCCATATCGTACCTGCTGCTCCCCAAACCAGAAAAGTGCGAGGTGCGCGGATAAAGGCCAGGAACTGTTGGGCTTTGTTGGAAAAAGAAACGAACATCATGTTTGCTTTCTACGTTGTCGTCGTCCGCAAACTTGCTCAAACAGGTTAGGCCAGCCGCAAAAGTGCCTGGCCCGGTGAGGGTGCAAGCAGTTGCTGTGCATTGATCACTCGGTGGCTTATCTGGCTTGGCCGAACGACACATCGCTGAGTTGTGACTGGCGTGCTGGACACCCTCCCAGGACAAGCCCCGCAAGGCCCCTGACACGGGCTGCTCATTAGCGGTGCCAGCTCTCTGGGATGTTGAAACCTGACCATTCACGCCTGCTTTGACGCCCCAAGATGGATCCTGACCCCTGGGGCTCAGGGGGATAGCCCTGCCCCGGATTGCCGTTCCCTTGCAGATCCGCCGCCCACCATGCTCGACCAGATCCTGGCGGCCGTCATGACCTGCTTCTCACTCCATCTCGCTCGACCACTCGCATTCGACGCCGACGCACCTCGTCACCCTTCCAGCTAGCCTCGCTGCGCCACCATGCTTGTCACCTTGCTGGTCGAGTCTGGAATCCATCCCGAAGCCAGCATCTGGCATCTAGCGACCAGCGGATGCTAGTCATCGGCATGGGCGACGGCTACCTCCCGCAAAACGGTCAGTCGGGACCGATGAGATGGAACGCATGATTGACAGCTACTGTTGCTGGCCAAAGACTGCGCCTGTCAATAGGTTTGGTGCGACGGTGTCCAGCCAGTCCGACCGCGGGCTTGAATCGACGGGGCACAAGGGGATGAGAAGGCAGCTTGCAGCTGTCTGGTGTGGTGCCATGGCAGTTTGCAGAGATCGAGCAAACATTCATCCGTAACTTGATCGCGTAGTAAGATCAGCTCAACTCAGCTCGCGAGCTAGGGTAGTCGTCTCGTCCAACAGCCGAGTCGAATCCAACCAGACGGCTAGCGCTAGCAAGTTAGCAGCTCGTCCACAGCTGGAACGGACTTGTCGATAGTCACCGCCCAGTGGAATGATGTGAGCCATCTCTGCCATGTGGTAGACGACCGATCCCGCGCCGGTGCAGTTGCTGAAAGGTTCCGGCACGCCGGTGCAGGTCCACATGGCACCTTATCAGTGACCCAACCTGCGTGCCATGGCCGGCATGCCAAGGGCATTGTCAATGAATCAGGAGACGAATGCGCAAAGGACTCGGAGGGGCATCAATCAGAACAATCAGCAAGCGCAATAAAAGCCTCACTAACAACACCATCGCCGGGGCTATCGGCACCAACACTCTGCGCCGGCACCAACTGCTGCCGGCTCCCACACACTGCTGTGCTCGGTGCCACAGCCCTGGCGCACGATTGTGACGAACTCCGGCTAGGACGTCCTGGCTAGTCGTTGAGGAATAAGCAACGCAAAGCAGACGGATTGAGACAATGGAAAAACAGTGAGCGATGAAGGCCCAATGATGGTGTCCCAGATGGACGGCCGTCCAGGGACATGGCCGGCCGAACGCCACAAAATCTCAGATGACTGCATGTTCTATCGGCGACGGACCAGGAGCCTGCTTCGTGTTCGTCCCCATTCGATATATGTTCAGGCGGCGAGGGAGGGGAGCACAAATTGATGATGGAGCTGGATCTGCACCGGGTCGGCCTGGGACCCGGCCATGACATGACACCGTACATAATGACGGGGTTGCGCACGATCACACACTATCGCCGACCCTGGTTTGAGAGACTGTGATTATTTGTCCCAATGCCTTTTGTAGGAGCGTCGTCCCCAGCTCCCGCCGCCAGTGTCTCCTCACCTCTGGCACTCTCAGGCTGGCCCGACAGATGGAGGTAGGCTGCGCGTTGACGACCTGTACACAAGCCAGAGAACACGACGCGCTGCGACGGCACGCACGGAATCGAGTATCGAGTGCAGCTGCCAGAACGACTGGCGACGGGTAGGAACGACTACCGCATGCTGACTGTCAAACTGCCATCCCCATCAGCCCTTTCGCACTGGTACCTGAATCGGTGCGCGCGCGTGTCCCTTTGATACACTAGCGGCGTTTCTCTTCCCGCAACTCCTGCCTCTTAGGCCTGTCGTTCCTTCCTTCGTCTCGAATCCCTCTTTTTTTTTTTTTTTATTAAGCACCCCTCGCAGACGATAGCTTCCCTTTTGTTGTTTTCTTCAGTTCCGCCGACGCTCGTCATCTCGGTTCCTTGCATCGCTCTGTTCTACCTTGGCAGTCCTCCTCGACGATTCGGGCTCCCGGGCGTCTCGGCTGTTTTACCTGCCAACCTGCGACTTCCTAACGCCGACTGCAACTGTATCTTAACTTCATCTTCACCACCCAATTCCACGCCCACCATCAGACGAACGACTCCCGGTCCTCCTCGGTGCTAAAACACTATCCACGTCTGGTTTTTCCGAATTTCGGGCATGAGACCATTCACCGGGCGCCACCTGCATCTCCGAGTCTCGAATCGTCCTCTCGTCCGCTTATATCCAGCATTGCTACCGCCATCACCCTTTCTTTCGTCACTCCCGTCTTCTCGAAAACCCACCGCCCGCCATGTGGGAGGTTGTCTGGACAGACCCCGATAGGGAGTCTAGGAAAGAGCATCGCGACCGCAAGGCCACCGAGCGAGAGCAAAAGGAAAAGTCTCGCGCAGCTAGAAGCTCCATGTCCACCCGCAGCTCATCGTCCTCCGACAACAAGCCGTTCAGTTTCTTCGGATCCAGGAGTCTTAAGAAGACGTTTACCCCGTCCACCAAATCATCGGCTCTAAAGGCGCCAAGCATCGACAGCACGCGCAGAGGCTCGCTGCTGTCTGCAGTCTCGGAGCCGCCCCCGTCGGAGCTACCCTGCAGCCCAGTCACAACGGTTGCCACGGCGGATCGCACTTATATACCCGACCATTTCATCGAGGACTCGCAGAGCTCTCCGAGCTCCAACAGAGGTACTTGCGTACGCATCGTCAGCCTTGCCACAGCTCACTGATACCAGGTTTCATAGATTCCGTGTTTTCAAAATGGACAGACAATTCAAAATGGACAGAGCCCTCGTTGGCGGTCCCGTGTTCGCCATGCACCGCGTCCGTGGCCGAGTCGTCGGCCGCCAAAGCCTCCCACTACGTGCAGACCCTTGGGCCCACGTCGTTCATCACCAAAAGCACCGAGGTGACCATCCTCCCCCGGACCACCGAGAACGAGTTAGCCGGCATGGTCTCCCATGTCACCATAACGGCAGAGCCTGTCAAAGAGGAGCCGCCGACGCCGCCGCGGTCTCCAGCCATACAGTAAGTGCACCGTCCTTTCGGGGAGCCTCGCTAACCAGTCAGACCGCAAACGCCCGCTTTCGTGGACAGCCCCGTCAACCTCTTTCCGGGACAGCCCACGCCGAGGCAATCCCTCCGCCGTGTGCCATCGTGGACTACCTCCTTCAAGCCCAACAACCCAGACGCCTGGAAACCACCCGACGCCTGGGACTGCTCTCCTGCCGAGGTGCGGACGCCCATGATGGACGACGTCATTGAGGAAACGCCAGAGCTCGAAACCGGACTCTCCCTGTCGATGGACCTTAACGGGATGCAGCGCGAGGTGAGGCGGATGGCCGCCGCCAGCTCCAGCATACGTCTGCTGCGGTTGAAGGAGGTCTGGGGCGACACGAACGACGCCAGTCTTTACAAGGAGCTGGAGATGGAAAAGAAGCGGTGGATGCTTTCGTCCCTGCACAACATGGACAAACCAATGGACACGGACCAGACGCGAAACGCCCCCAACAAGATCACGCCGGCCAAGGCAAGAAAGGTTCTTGCTCTCTATGAGACGCAAGGTGAGTGTCCGTCGCCTGTACGAGAGGCCAGACTAACGCCTCCAGCAACCACTTCGTACCTGGCAGCTGTCCACTTCAACAAGCAGGTCTACCACCTCTCGTCATCTCCTCTGTCCCACACCCTGTTCCCCAACATTCATCCGGTCCTTGCCCCGGCCATCTCTCCGTCGGCCTTTCCCGTTGCCTCGTCGCTCTTTGGCGCGGTGTACTCTCTCGGCCTCCCGGCGCTGCTCCCCTCGCCCGAGGTGCCCGGTCTCTTGAAGAACGTCCACCGCTGCCTTGCCCAGGGAGGCACGTTCCACCTCACACTCATTGACCCCCTCCCCGTCACAAGCACTCTGGGCCCACGCATGCGCTCCTGGATCGAAGACAACCTCATCTTCAACCTGGAAAAAAACTTTCGCTGCATGAACCCGAGCAAGCTGTTCCCTCTCTGGCTGGCAGACGCTTCCCTCCGTGCTGAAGGCAGTACCATCACCACCGTGAAGTTCTTCGCCATCCCGCCCACCGACAAGCCGGACACGGCGACGACCGACTCTGAGCAGCTCGCGGAGAGAGCCATCAAGCAGGAGCTCCGCAGCCTGGTCGGACGCATGCTCTGGAAAGAGGTGTGGGGACAGTTCATCACGGCCGACAGGTGGTGGTGGGAGCACCCCGACATTGCGGAGGAGTGCGACCAGCTCAAGACCTCGTGGGAGTACAGCATCATCGAGGCAGTCAAGGATGCGTGATTGTCTGCAAACAAAAAACACTTGGAGGAGCAAATGTTTTCTCATTTGGCGTTGGAGGGCCACATTTCTTTCTCAATACCCCAGAGGGCCATGCGCCGCTCGCCTCACGTTGCTCGGGGTCGGCAGATCCGCCGGGACGTGGTGTGGAATCATGTTCGCCGTTGTACTGTACTCGCATTTATCGGGTTTCTTGGGGACTGGGCAGAGGTACAGGTTTACGGGACTGAGCTACTTTTTCACCTTGGAATCAATCGTTGGACTGGCTATGGCTATGTAAGCGCAGGTTAGAATGGGCTACGATACCGTAATGGTAAATGTCGTGTGGTGCGCGGACATGCAGTTAGAGTTTGTGTTCATCGTGTTTCTGATGAGTCCGGATCGGTCGGTGGTCGAATTGGCGCCCTGCTCGCCATGGGAACCCGACTTGGACGATCCCATCGGACCCCACGTCAACGGCAACGTGATCCCTGCCCCCCCGCACAATCCACTCGTCCCTTATGATGAGGCGATTGTCATCGGTTCGCGTCCACGGCAAGGCATCGACAAGAATCGGCGGTGCCAGGTGCCATGAATGCAGTGAAGCGGTTGCAGAGGGGAAGTCGTGCAACGGCGACCTCGGGCGCAGGGTGCCTTGTTGTGCTGTACGCGTGCCTGTCCTGGCGCTTTGGCCCTTGCAGACGGGTTGGCAGGCGTTGGCGATGCATTCGCAGTTTGGATTCAGCAGTCACAATACAGGACAATACGATCCTGCGCGCTTTGACCTGCGCCCCAACCGGCGTGAGGCTCCAGCCACAACCGCTGCAGACGATGAGAAGTGACTGACTGACCGTTCAAGACACGCGCGTTTCGGCCGGGGTGTTGGGCAGTCGCCGCGCCGTAACGCTCAAGTCGGGAGGCTGTAGTTCGATGCCACCGTGTCATTCGTGCCTGCGGTTGGGGATGGGAAGAACGGCATGAGACGGCGCACAAACCACGGCTGGTGGACGCTGACCGGTTGCATCCAATGCGACGTCGACAGACGCCTGCCGCAGTTGGAGCCGGTTCGTGTTGGACCTGTCCTGTTGGAGGGCATTTGACAGCTGCTGTGCCGTCGCCGGGTAATTAAACAAAAGCTGGGATGGTGTGTCGGACGAGTCTGGATGCAGAGCGAGTCAGCGCTGCACAGCAATGATTTTTGGTTTCCGTCTCCAGATTGTAATCTGCCTGCAAACCCCCTTTGCAGTCTTCGTTTCTTAGGGTCGTTGTCTCTAGCCGAGTACCCGTCCGTGAAGTCAATGACGCACACTCGGTCGAGTGAAAAGCAATGGTTGTCGCCTGGTGAAACGGATCGCCAGGAGCAGACAATGTTTCCATGGACGGTGCTTCGTTCTCGTGTTGGAACAATGCTCGCACTTGTTTTGGCAGAGATCTTCGTCGCGGCATTCCCTGGTTGAACCCGTCGGCAGGGCTCGAGGAAGAGCACACGCGTAAGGATCAGAAGCCTGTCAATCCGCTGCGTGACGGAAAACAGGGACAGAGTCTGCTAGATATCCGGCCGTCAATGAGGTGCACGAACCAAACAACTTTTTTTTATAAAAAAAAAAAAAAAAAAAAAAAGTCCCCGTCTTGACTCGCAGTTTATGAAGCAGCGGGGCCGGAAAAAGCTTGATGTTGGTTTGCACTCAAGCCAAGACGCTGGACAAGCAGAGGTGGAATCTTTTCTCTGGCAATCTTGGGAGCAGCAGTGGAGCGACGACCCCGGAAAAGATGCGCTGGGCTGGAGCGTGGCTTGCCCTGCAGCCCATCCCTGTCTGGGGCATAGGGGCGACCCTGCGAGGTGCATCCATGGATATTTCGTCTTGGAACCTCTCAATCTATTAAATATTTCCCTTGGCTTCAGGACGGCGGAAAGAAAATCATCCCCCTGGCAGATGCGGCGCCACAGAAAAACGCTCCTGGCAGCCGTCGGAGCAGACGGCAAGGGGTTCTCTCTGTCCGCCGCTTCATGCTCGATTCGCTAGAACGTTGCTCACAGACCGTCCATCGCCGATCATGGTGCATCTGCAGCGAGCACCGCCCGCGCGCTACTGAGGCAGACGAGACGAACAAATGGGCAGAGTTAGACTTTCGGGAGGAACGAACCGTTGGGATAAGCAGGAACACGGGCTGATCTCGAGACAGCACGTGGGAATGGCGTGTTTGGTCTCGCGCCACCTGGGCTAAATACTTCACGCAGGGCCGATTTTGCAAAGGACGTAAATGGTAGTAGTATATTCGTGACAAATAATCTGGGACAAAAGAAACTAGTGCCGCCAAACTCCAACTAAAATCATGAAATGGTATACGCAAATTCATGCCTGCTGGTGAAACCGGGTATCTTCCACAAACGCTCATCCTTTCAATTGCATATCTCATGACCGCGAGGCCTGGTCGTTGGAGCAGGGCCGGCTGTTCGTGAGCTCCGTGATGCTTTCGCTCTCGTACGTCTTGTTCCTGCGATTAGGGTTCGGAATTTTGAACTGGTCGCTGTGGCGGAAGCTGCCGACAAGCTCCGTGACGTCTGGCCGCCGGGACGCATACCGAATGTCGGTCCAGAGGGTCTTGCAGGCCTTCCACGACGTCACCACGTAGATCAAGGCGTTCCAGAATCCCTGGAGGGGCAGGACGAAGGCGCTCATGAAGGCGAGCGGCGTCGATGACTCTTTTGCGTGGATGACCGAGTACACGCGGTTGGCGCTCGACGGGACCCAGGTGATAAGGATGACGGTGAAGAAGAGGATGGAGCACTTGGTGTACGACCAAGCGGCGTTGTTGACCTCGTAGTTGCGTCGCCTGGCCGAGTTCACCGGGCGCTGGGCGGGGTTGGCTTCGATGGTGACGCTCTCTGCTGGGAGAACGGCGTCGCCGTGCGACTCGCGGCGTTCGTGGTGGTTGGCAGAGATGCTGACAGAGTAAGCGGCGTCGGGCATGCGCGGCATCGATCCAGCGTCTGATCCACCACGCCTTGCCATCGACCCAAGCCCGATGGAGCTGCTGGGCTGCTCAATCGTTTCCGACGTGACGTACACCTCGGTGGTTTTCATCGAAGTGAGGGCATCATGAAAGGAGTTGAGATGGTCCGGATCGGAAGAGCTAAAGTTGTGAAGCTGCTTGCGCTTCTGGTAGATTTCGCGGCCCGCTCGGATGTAGATGAAGAACGTGATTAATATCGCGATCCTGGAAATGTGAGCGGTAGTCCTGTGCACCAGAGAGAACAAACATACCAAACAGGACCGTAAAACGTCAGGATGCGCCAGATTTCCCAATCCGGCGTCACCCAGCACCAGAGGGTTGCGTTTCCGTACACCCTCTGGCCCTGCCCATTGGTAACAAAGACGTAGGTCAAAGCCGGGACAAAGGGAATGCCGTAGCATGAGATGAGGTACGGGATCTCCATCTTGCGGAGTCTCTCGGCGTCGAACTTGAAGTAAAAGGTCAGGTAGACGTTGATGGCCATGGTCAGCGTCCAGAATGCATCGGCTGGCATGAACCTGCGGTCGTTAGCCTAGTCTCGAAAGGCGGGAGGCGGACCTACATCTGGATCAGAAACGCCTGAAGCTGGCAGCCCGGCGACAATGGCGACTCAATGTATGACCTCGCCATAAGTGTACCGACGTTGGTCATCATGTTGCCAAACGACGCAAAGAAGACGAGGCGGTTGATTGGCTTGTGGAACGCTCTCGACGAGCAGAACGTGACGATGATGAAGACGCATCCCAGCAGCGAAAATACCGAACACGTACGTTCAATAATGCTGAGAAGATCGAGGTCGCCTTTGTCCAGGCTGACTTTCTCTTCTGGTTGATCCATCTTGTTGTTCAAAGTGTGTAGATGTATTCCGAGTCTCGTATCAATACCAGTACGGTCGGGCGGAGGTCGTCGTCTGGGGACCGTGAATATCGGATGGGCCAATCCTCAAGTATCCGTTCTCCTCCGCGTAAAAGGAATGTGTCGAGGCCGACTCGAGTCGACTTCCTCTTTGAGACGTGCAGGCTCCTGACCAGGATGATCTACGGGTGAGCACAAGCGAGTGGTGTCGACTGTCCGAACCAACATGATCTGAAGGAGGAAAAGAGACAGAACAAGACGGGCCGGGCATTGATGAAGAGTCGGCAAAATGTAGGAATAAGGAGCAGAGCCAGTCATCGACTCGTCGGGGCGCCGCAAGCCTGGACTGTCGCATGGCTTGGGCAGGGGTGATGGAGGGCAGGATTGGTTAGGATGGTGTCGAGAGCGTGTTCCATGTCGGAGCAGGGTGCTGGAGGTACCTGGCACCCCGAGAGAGGCCTCGTAGAAGCTGGAGATTGGCTTAGTCCCCTCCAGGATGACGGTCATCGCAGCTGGAACAGGCCAAGCGGAGGACTTAGCTTACCACCTGCTAGCCCACACAGCCAGCTTGGCGCGGGGTCGGACGAACCTGGGGACGCCAGGGTGGCCCCCGTCAATTCCCACAGCTGGCGTGGGTGAGATGCAAGGCTCCCCCAGGAACATGGTCGCCGTTGGCTGTCGGTGCCGTCGTCAGCACCGTATTCGGGGAAGAGCATTGCAATCCTCAATCTTGTTGCGTGGCTCGCTGTTGCCCCTGAGATGCAAGCCAGATCGCAATATATCGCATTTTCCTTATCAATGGATTGCCCGCGTGTCGTGGAGTTCTTTTTGTCGCAATGATCTGGGCTTTGATCGATCGAGGTCAGGGCGCCCGCCGGGATGGGAGGCGGAGGCATTCGAACTGTATTAAAATTCAGACTTCTTCCTAGCTCGCCGCCACCGACGACTCTGAGTGACCGACGACTTCACCCGTTTAGTGAAACCCTTGTCAAGCCACAAAATGGCAGGGATTGGGCGCAGCAAATTAGAAGGCTCGTCTTTGGGTACTCGGGATTCTCCAGCAAGACGACTCGTGTTATCCATTCTGCAGTCGCTGGTGGTCTTGGTGGCGGACGACTCCATCCGAGGCATTCGCTTGACAGCTGAGCCGCGAGGTGCAGAGAGAGAGATGGCAACCGTCTTTGGGTTGCAGGTCAGCGGAAGCAAACGCGGCAGCACCATCCTACCCGACGTCCTGGTAGCACGGCAGTGCAGGCAGAGGAGAGCTGCGACCTCTGACACGAAGTCAAGACCATCCCGTTTTGAGTGTCAACGGTGAATCGATAATTGGCTGGCGCAGGGCTGACGAAAACTCAGGACGACGCCCAACCCGAAATAGCATCGCACACGGCTGATAGATTCAACTGAGTTATCGCATCGTAGCCTCCCCTGACCTGGCTGACGGCACGATGCCGGCGCTGACCACGTGGGAACGCCACCATCGCGAGCGCGCTCGAGGGGCCGGCGACCAGATGGTGCTTGATGCTGCTGAAGATGGAGGCGTCGGCTTGCCGTCTGAAGTGTCGTCTCTCGTTTGAAGATGGGACGAGGCAAAGACGTGGCGCGCAATGACGGTGCCTAAAGTGTTGGGGTGCCGTATCCTCGGAGAAGCCACGAGCGACATGCTGCTGCAGGTTGACGGATAAAACGGCTGGCTGAATCAAGCCTTCGACTTGGGGAGCCATGCATCATGTTGGCGTCAGCTGTTCCGCTGCATGGTTAAAGGTCGGCCTGGGCGAGATGATTCTAGCGAGATTCGGGGTTGAGAAACCTGGAGGGCTGGGCCAAGCTTTGATTAGCCATAGGCCTTGGACGAGGGGGAACAGGCCAGAAGCATGATAGAGGCAGAGGGCGCAGATTCTGAGATGCAGGGCTAAAGACGGTGATGAGCAAGGACAAGGATGAAGCAGCCAAAGAGCTTCGTGGTTGTGGTGATGACAGTGGGAGGGTAGCATCCCAAGTGGGCACGTACCTTTTCCCCAAACCCATTGATCCTTGCGCCAATTCCAGCGGGGGAAAGTGGGGTCATTTCCCGGATGGTGGACATCTCTTTCGGGGAAACGCGACTGCAAGCTTCCCAAGCCAAAACACGCCGCCTCTTCAGCCATTTCATCCCATCCCTACGGATCCATCTGTAAGGCACAGGAGAAGCTCTCGATTGAAATAGCACACCCGTGCGCCATGGTCAACCCCTTCCCTCCGATATTCGATGCCCAGTCCAGAAACAGCTGGCGTGAATCAAACGGTCGACGGAGGAGGGCGCCAAATGGGCATCTGCTCATTTTATCTTCAATAGACCGGCACCAGAAGGGGACATCACGCCCATCGTAATCAGGAGAGACATTCTCGAACCGCCGCAACTCACGCTAGTCAGCCCTGCGACATATGGAAGGCCGTCGACTTGTGCCATGGTAAGGGAGCACTGGTTTCGCAGACAGCAAGCCACCGAGCCAAGCCCATGGGTGATGATGGCTCACCGTTGGTATGGTTTGGCTTTAAAGTGAATCTCGGGTGCGGCCTTGGCTTCTGGTTTAATCACACGCGAATCCAGGCTTTGGAGCGTGTGAATGACATGTTCCCCTCACGCCGTTGCTGAAGACCAGCCAAAATGCGGAGGAGCACATGGCCTAGCGGCTTGGCTTCGTTCAGCCCCAGCAGCAAGGCCCATTGCGAATCGAGCAGCAGGCAGCCAAAGTCCACCAACGCCGTTGTCTTGAATGAACTTTTGTTACAGGGGTCAGCCTCGAGCACCATCCTGCCTGCTCAGTCGGAGGCGAGCCGCGGTCTGTCTGTGCGTCTCGTTCAGAGTATTTCGACAAGCACTGCAACGCTACCCCGAGATGTCCATGGTTTCGACTTGCTGAGAACCGCTCACATCCAAAAAGAGTCGAATGTGCCGCACTTGCCACGCACTCGACCGGGAGGATACTGCGGGGGTTGTGTTTGGGTCTAGCTCTCGTGAGGCATCACCTCGGTCGGCGACAAGTGTGACGGGGAAGCCGTGGCTAGGAAAGTCATTGGCTGTTGCCAGCCTGGGTGGGCTGGCAGAATTACTAGTTGCCCGATCTACCTTACGGAGCCGTCAATTGACGACGGGTATATGGCAGTAAGACTGATGGCTTTGATCGACAGACATGGGACGGTCCATTAGGGATGAATCAGTTTGAACCCACGCGGATTGGGGTTGGCAGAAACCAAGAGAACATCTGGAGCAGTACGAGTAGCACTGATCTTCCCGGACATGGCCAGACTGAATGGTCCCCCAATCTGGGCATTTGAGGGCTGCATCATTGCCGAGGTTGTCGACCGGTTGTGAGCTAGCTTTCCCGCTGGCCTGCTGTCGAATAAAGCAGAGACATGCCAAGACGCCGTCTAAGCGATGAAAAAGGACTCGCGGTCCGGCTAGTAAGTCATCGAGAGAGGACGATTCTGCTCGTTGTGGTTTGTCTGATGCGTTCAGTCTATCTCCAATGCCAACTTGAGGGTGGTCATGGCCCAGTAGCGTTCTTCTCGACTCCAAGGCGGTGCTGATTGCGTCCGCTCCATGAAAAATTGCGCATCTGAGGAATCAAACCTGAAGCGGCCACAGTAATGTGATTTGCTAGGGGATGCCGCGAGCCTTCTCCTTGGATCGCAGAAGGGCCCAGAAACATCCATTTCGCGTCCATGTTTGCCGACCTGGAAACAGCCCAGAACAAAGGGATCAGGAACCTCACAGCTGACGGCCAGGAGAGCAAGGCTAGAGTCTCTGATCCCGGACAATTGGAATTCAGGCTGCCGAACCCATATTAGGATTCAAATTGCGTTGATACCAAGTGGTTATCCAATGGCTTCGAGGGTCGAGCCTGAAGCCTGAGCCTCCAGAGCTGACAATGGCGCTCTAGAAGGAGCTCAAGAACAAAGATGGCCCTGGGTGAACCACATTCTCATGTGCCACCTCTTTAAGCCCACGGAAAGGATTAGGTGGTGATCGAAAGAGGTCTGAAAGAGTTTCAAGATGATTCACTCAGGCTCTAACAAGCCCGTATCTTCTGCCCTATTCCGCATTTCCGGCCCTCGCCCAGAAACACGGATGGGGCCATCGAGCCTCTTCCACCTTTGATTCGAGGGGAAGGAGGCTGCCTATGCCATCCATAACAGAACGTCCTCTCGATGCAGCCGTACAAAAGGCTCCATTCAGAAGTATCCCCGCCGTTGATCTGCCATCTCCGGCGAGTGAGTCTTTCGAAACTGACTTTGAACAACATTTCGGGCTGGGGCTTCAACAATGGCGCGCAACCGCAAATCCAACCGCCGCTCGACCAATCACAGGCCAGAGCCGGACTCTGGCAGCGGCTCACGCAAGGCCAGGGACGACTCCCACCGTCGAGCCGGAGCAGACCGCGTCAGCGACAGGAAAAGCCGACCTACCCGTCACTCAAACAGTGAAACCCGCCCGCGCAAGCATCGAAAGCACCGCCGTCACGAAGTTGTGACAGACACTGACGGTGACTACCTGATGGACAAGACGCAGCCCAGCCCCAAACATGACACGCACCAAGGCCAGCCAGGTATCCGACAGGACACCGCTAGCTCGAGCAGCAAGAAACGCCACCCGGCGGAGCGACCCCAACGGCTGCCAGACCACAGCCGCGAGAAACCGCCCGAGCGCCGCGAGGCAAAGAAAGACTACCAGTTCCGCCGACAGCTTCTGGCCCTACTCGAACAGCAACGCCAGGTTGTGGAGGCCTGGGCAAACAGCCTCGGCGCAGGCGGCCCCGCGGAGCCGATGGAGTGGCAGCCGGAGCAGGAGCGGGTCGTGTACTTTGCACGAGTGCCCGTGGAGGACGACTGCTATGCGGACCGGTGGAGAATCGGCGGAACGAGAGAGGCGTACCCGACGTTGGGGTCGTGGGCCAGTGAACGGTGGCTCGATGGGTCACTGATGGGTGGAGCGCCGGCAGCAGCGGCTGAATCGGGTTTGGCCCAGGAAATCGAGTGACTTGACGTGTAAGACGAGTGGTGGAAACGACCAGCCCTTGAGCATCAACTTCTAATCAACTGCAATTAACTACCGGGACGAATGGAGTACAAGACTGATGACATGTCGTTCATAAAGTACTCTCGATACCTATGGGTTAACATGCAAAGTTCTGAACAAGACCGTCCTAAATTTTTTCCTAACGCCTGTCCAGATGAAGTCCGACCTGACCAAACCCATTGAAGCAAAAGTCAACCATCGTGGGAATCTCGCAAATGTACAGATTCAACCGCTAACATCCCTCTCCGCGTATCACATACATCTTTATCTATTTCGCGTAGCGGTTGTACTCGGCAGCGACGAGGCAGTGGTCACGCTCAAAGGGTTCTGCGACTGTTAGCTTGCGGGCTCTTAGCTGCAACTGGACGAGACGTACCTAGCGTGAGCTGCTCCTTGGGTGCGATGCGCTCCGCTCTCAGCTTCTCGACCTCCATGGCGAAGACCTTGGCGGCGGGGGCGGTACTGTCGATACAGTTGGCCTTGATGGAGATGAGGATACCACCGCCGACCTTCAGGAACTGGTGGGCGTTCATGGCGACGATACGGGCCTGGTCGGGCTGGGCAACGTCGGCAAAGATGGCGTCGACCATGGGCATGAGCATGCGGTACTTGAGGGGTTGGCGGGCGTCCTCGACGATGGGGACGACGTTGGTGCGCTTGGCGGCCATGCCAATCAGGTCACGGCCGGAACGGGGGGAGAACTCGACGGCGTAGACGAAGCCGGTGGGACCGACAATGTCGGCAACGTGGGAGACGGAAGTACCAGAGGCACCACCGAGGTAGAGGACCTTGGAGCCGGGGCCGAAGTACATCTTCTCGAGACCACCGATGACGGCGGCAGCAAGCTTACTGCGGAAGGGGTTCCAGACGCGGTACTCGACCTTGGTGGTTGTGGTGGTGCCGTCCTCGTTCTGGACAACGTCGTCGACGGAGACGCGCTTCTCGCCGTAGACGGACTCGCCGGGGACGATGTTGCGGGTTGCGATGGCGTCCTCCTTGCCGCGGACGACAAAGATACCCTCGTGACGGTGAGGCTCGACGATGACCTTGGCACCTCCCTTCATTCCCTTGGCTGTGCGCGCTGTTAGCTCAAAGCTGTTTCTCTCTCAGGGGGGGGACTCGGGGATGAAGCTTACGTCCGCCGCGACCACCGGGCTTGCCAACACCTCCACGACCGCGACCACCAGCGCCGCCACGGGGACCACCACGGCCGCCTGCTATCGCGTCAGCTTCTTGCTCTGGCATCGCCATCGACATGGTTAATTACCTCCGCGGGCACCGAAGCCGCCTCTGCCACCTCCCCTTCCGCCTCTGTCGCCGAAGCCACCGCGTCCGCCGCGACCACCTCCGCGACCTCCTCTATCACCGCCGAAACCACCACGGCCACCGCCTCTGCCGCCGGCGCCGCCACGAGCCTGGAAAGGAGCCATTGTCTCTTATCGGATGTTGGGGTATATGAAAGAAATGAACGTCAGACTACTGCCAGTCCCGCGTTGTGAGAAGTCGAATTGGTCAGAGGTGCAGGTGCAGATGGTGTCCTCTGAGGGCGGGTTGGCGCTGGGGACTACTGGAGATAGAAATTTTCCAACTTTTTTTTTTTTCAGAGAGCTACAAGGTCCAAACATGCATTGGATGTGGGGTGTCATTCGTGATTGGCCACCGCGGAGCTGAGATTCACCGGCCTCCGGACATGAATTTTTCTTTCCGATTAGATAAGGCGGTATCCACTCTTTTGGAAAATCGGCAACTGCCAGAAAGGGTCGCACTGGTGGTGAGAAGGCACTGCACGCGAGACAAGAAATATTTCCCATCATTTTCGACAACCACAAATCGGCTGCCATTTCGACGCAGTAAATTCAATCGCGACCTTACAAGTCAAACGCCAGGTACGCCCATTTTCTCCCGCGGCTTTCTTCCCAGACTGGCGCTGGAAATGGCCGTTTTTACCCCGTAGGGTTGCGGAGCCCTAAGGCAGACCCCTGCCGTTTCCCGATCCGCAAGCGAGCCAACCCGCGCTGAAGGGCTAGGGTCAAGCAAAGTTGTGAATTTCTTCTAACTCACTCAGCCAGCCCAGACGACGACCACCGACGCCGAAACCATCACCACACCCAACGATCAAGATGGTAAGTGCTTGCTGCTTCCCCATCTGTGAGGTCCTCGCGAGGAGACCCGTCGTCGCCCTTGGAAAATCACGCCGCCGCCGTCGCCGAGAACCTGGTTGCATTTCAAAGTGCCGGGAGGGAAAACATGACGAAAATTCGACAGCACCGGGACCGAGGCGGGGGGAGGATCGCAGACCGCAGACGATGTGCACACGAGACTGACACAATGGCCTGCCCATAGGTTCGTTACGCTGCGACCGAGATTGCCCGCGAGAAGTCGGCCCGCGCCCGCGGCTCCTACCTGCGCGTGTCCTTTAAGAACACCCGCGAGACCGCCCAGGCCATCAACGGCTGGAAGCTCCAGCGCGCCGTCAAGTTCCTCGAGAACGTCCAGGAGAAGGCTGAGGCCGTCCCCTTCCGCCGCTACGCCGGCTCCATCGGCCGCACGGCACAAGGTACGACATGTCCCGGACCGAAATCGTCGTCGTCGACGACGCGGGGTCGAAGATGACCCACGAGAGGAGGACACACAAAGTACTGACCCCCAATCCAGGCAAGCAGTTCGGTGTCTCCCGCGCCCGCTGGCCCGTCAAGTCCGCCGAGTTCCTCCTCGGCCTCCTGAAGAATGCCGAGTCCAACGCCGACGCCAAGGGTCTCGACACTGGCAACCTGGTTGTCAAGCACATCCAGGTCAACCAGGCCCCCAAGCAACGGAGACGCACATACCGTGCCCACGGTCGCGTACGTACACTCTGTCACTCGACCCGCCGTCCGCCACTAACAGCCGCAGATCAACCCCTACATGTCCAACCCCTGCCACATTGAGCTGATCCTCACCGAGGGCGAGGAGGTCGTCCAGAAGTCCGATGCCGTCGTTGGCCGTGAGGAGGTCCGCCTCAACTCCCGCCAGCGCGGTGCCCGCGTCCGCCAGGCCATCACCGCCGCATAAGCGACCTGATTTCGAGTGCGGTATGACTGGTGTAACGTGAACCTGGGAGGTCTTGGGTTGATGGATGCGTGGAAAAAATGCGGCTTTTCATATGCTGGTGTACAGGATGGCTATGGTCTCATGGCATTTAGGGATTGGCATGCGAATTCACGCAAAGGTCTGATGGGCCACCAATAAACAAAACCTGCAAAAGTGATTCCCTAAAGTGGTCCTAGATGAGCATTCATGACTGGCGTCAAACGGAAATGGATATGCATTCAATTAGTCCTTGCTGTCTCAAAACTCATAAAGTGCTTTTATGACGTCCAACACGTCTCAGTCTTTTCCCGTGGTATCATTGTCCAAACGCCGGTCAGTCCCCAAAGTTGAAATACACAGAATCCACGGCCGTTTCATACTAGTTGGCCGTCGTGGTAATCGTGCCGCTAAAGCGGCCCTTGCCGGGAACCATGACACCGTCCCTCTTCGCTGCCTCGATGACCTCTTCGTCATACCAGGATGCCCAGGTCAGGTCCATCCCGTACGCGGTCGCCAGATTGAAACGCTCCTGCGGCGGCAAGAAATTGGTGATCTTGGCCGCCAGCCGGTCGTTGCAGTGCTGCATGAACGGCGCCAGCTCCCTTCGCCGCGTCGTGATCTCTTGCGGCTCCTGCCACGGGGGGCGCAGCGGCAGCGTGTTGGTGTTGTCGATGAAGGGCACATCCAGCGCCACGTACCCACACGACTTGAATGACATACTCTCGAGACAAAAGCTCTTCTTCTCCTTGCGCAGGAGATTTGCCCTGGGAATGAGTTTGTAGCCCTCGTCCGTTGCAGCATCGTCCAGCCCCTCGGTTTCATCGTCATTGTCCTGCGTAGCCGTCAATTCTGCAATGCCAGGCACTGGTGCGAGCCGTTCGATGACGCCCGTCCAAGTGAGCAGGTCTGGCACCCGCAGCCGCATGGTGTCCCACTCGGGGGTGACAGGGTCCGGTGCCTGTGCCAGCGCCGGTGCCTGGGCATTCTGGGCACCGATGTTGAGCGCTTGAGCTATTTGCGCCGGGCCCTGGGCCAGGATTCCGAGCGGGATATTGATCAGCTGGGCTGGAGCTGCTCCTGGTTGGTTGGGTGCGGGTGGCAACGGTGGCGGCTGGAGAGCCTGCCCGTTGGCCTGGACGGGCTGCAACTGCCAGACCTGCTGTTGCTGGCCTTGCTGTGCGGCAGCAGCGGGAGCGGCCAGGTGCCCGTGGAAAAAGGCTGCATGGCCCTGCCGCCGGACAGGTGGCCCAGCCAGGGAGACGGTCTCCAGCTCCAGCTTCTCCAGAGACTGGAGGGCCATGGACCGGATCACCTGCAAGAATACGTGTGGCACGCTGTAACAGTTCTTCAAGGAGAGATGCTTAATGTGCGGCAGGGAAAGCAAGAGGTCTGGCGACTTGGCGGCTTCGAGCGCCGGCATATGCGCGGGCATGCAGAAGGGTGCGGGCAGGACGTAGTGGTTGCGCTGCGTGATGCCCGGTGCGAATTCGCCGCCGCAGATCCATTCAAAGTGTAGGTAAGAGATATTCTTCTGTTTGCCAATGTAGTCCCGCAGCACGCGGTAGGCTCTGCCGACGGCATCCACGGGCGAGACGAAGGTGTCCTCGACACAGCCGGGTGCGACTTTGGCGACCTGGCGCCAGTCTGCCACGACTGCGAGGGCGACGTTTGTGAGGTTCGGCAAGCTCTGCCAAAAGTCCTGCCGCTGGAACATGAATAGGTGGCTGCTGGGTATCTTGGCGATCGTCAGGGTCGTCAGTGAGCTAAAGTCGTTTGTGCGGGCGTTGTCGCTGAGGGCAATGACGTAGGACTGGATGAGTGCCCGGTGAGCCCACTCGAGCTCCAGAAGCATCTCTTTCTGGGCCCGTGTCAGATTCTTGGGCTGCAGAGGGTGGCCGGTGGTTGTATCAGCCAGCGCCGATGCCACCGCGCGCTGGATCGCAGCATCTTCTGCGTCTCCGTCAACGGGGTTTGCGTTGACGTTGGGATGCTGTTGCTGGGCAAAGACGTTGATGGCCAGGTCAGGCACGGAGGCGGTGCGCTCGTCAAAGTCAATGTTCATCAGCGAGACGTTCTCCGTGTTGAGAAGCATGTTGATGGCCTCCTTGACCTGCTCCTGCGAGTAGCCGGCATCCTTGACCATCGACTCCAGCACTGTGTACTTGAAGTCGCGGGGACTTTCAAAGGCAAGCTTGCGGGCATTCATGTTGGCCGACTCGGCTCGCGCCAAGCGCCGCTGCAGCAGCCTATACCGCAGATTGCGCAAGTCGAAAACTGGATGCGGCAGCGGCGGGCTTTCGAGCTGCTGGTCCGGCCCCAAGAGGTAGCCCAGCCCGGCGTCGCAGCAGAGGCCCAGCTCCTGGACGTGTTTCAGACACTTCAGCGCCTCCTTCATCGATGCGGTCTCGTCGGCGGTCTGCTCGAGTCCTTCGAGTTCCGTGTATCGATGGTACGATTCGTGGGGCCACCGGTAGATTCCCCAGTAAGAGGTGACGGCCTTTTGCGTGGGCTTGATGGGGGGATATGCCAGACTCTCTTCGTCCAGCTCCAGCGACAGGGCGAACCGCAAGATGTGGTTGCCAAAGGACTGGAAGATGCGCATTCCGCTGGCAAACAGGGTGTCGGTGCATGGTTGGGTCGTTTCCTCATCCTCCTCGCATGCCACCTTCCTCCGGGCCTTGTACATCTCTGACCGGAACGGGACGACGACATTGCGAAAGTACTTGGCCGAGACCATGCGGTCGAACTCGTGGTTGACCAGTCGCAGGCTTTTGACGTCGGTCCGAGACAGGTAGGTGGTGATTTCGTCAAAGATTTCGACAGGGACTTGGGCAGGCGGCCAGGTGAGCTGCGGCGGGTCTGAAGCCATGGAGTCGAGCCTTCGTCGTTTCCGGGGCATCTCCAGCGCTGCATCCCGTTCACTCATGGCCGTTCGGGTATCCGCTCATGGGTTGGATTGCCTGGTCGAGGCAATTCGGTCGGCAGTTGTCGTCGGTCGCGGCTGCCGGGGATCGGTCGATGGACTTTGCCGTCGACGGCAACACGGGCGTGAAAAGCAAGCGTAAGTCTATTTTCGGATAAAACGACTGTGTACGAATGTTGCTGGCCAGCGGATCGGCCAAAGGTTTGTTTGTAGTCGCAATGGAAGCTGTCGGGGTGGATCAGGCGGGAGCGGGTGACTGCTGATCCGCGGCAAGAGAGTATGTAATTAAAAGGTGCTAATGGAATAGGATAAACAAATCGTGGGGTTCTGTTGCGACGAGTGTTTGACGAGACTCGACGAGCGCTGGCGACTGGGAGGTTGATTGCAAGAACGAAAGCTGGAAAGAAAGTACGTCTGGTCGAGGGATGATCGTCTATGGGACGAGTGAAAGTGAAGTCACCGAGGGTGGTTTGCGAGCCACTTTTTTCTTTCTGGCGTCCTGAAGGAAGGGCACACGTACTCGCCATTGGCTGTTTGCAGAGACTTTGCACATGTGGCCGGGGCTTGGGCGGGGGTGGCATGGCATGGCAAATGTTTCGCTGCTCCAATCACCTCATTGTTCGGGCACCCTGAGCTGCCTGCTGCCCACGGACCTGCCCCGGCTGGCGGGGATTTGCGGCAATGGCCGGGGGCCAGGTGCCGCCGTAGGTAAGCCTAGGTAGGTTTAGCGGGTGGGTCGGAGGGTGGGTCGGAGGGTCCAGACGCCGAATCCAGGGCATGGAAGCCTCAGAGGCTTCTGGAACTCGTACAGTTGTCACGATGCCGCTCGCTTGCAAACAATGTGACTCGGTCATTTAAAATTATCGCAATGTTATCCACCGGCTCAGTCAATGGCCGACCAACTCAGCCACGGGATGCCGTGGAAATACATGATGGTATATCGAAGAAAACTTGTGCATATTTCATAGAAAACCCCCCCAACGCCATGGACTAACACTAATTTATTGCTGTTCCTGCCCTAAGAGGCTGCGGACTTGACGGGCGCTTTGCCTTGGTAAAACCAGTACCTGGTAGGCTGTTAGCGATGCTGCGCAGACGGGACATGCTTGGAAGACTCACTCGGCAGCGTATTGAACTTCGAATGCGGCGGGCTGGCCTTGACAAGTAGCGGGAGCGCTGCCGCCAACAGTGGTGATGCGGTAGACCTCTTGAAGGTTTCCGGTACTTCCCGCCGTCGTGAGAAGCTTCAGCCACGGCACGGCGCCCTCACCCTGCTGTCCCTTGGCCGCCATGGTGGGCGCGGCAATGGAAGAGTTCTTTGCGCACCATGCGTCACCAATCTCGACTCCATCGGTCGCGAGCTGGAAGAACGGGACGCCGGTGGTGGGGAAGATGTGGTGTCCAGAGATGGCAAGGCTGCTGGGGCCGAGTCGTTGTTGGTCGTCACTGTCGGTGAGGTTGAACTGCATCGAGACCGAGGGCAGCTTCTCGAGGAGGTCGGGGTACATGGCAGCCACGCAGCTCGCGTTGAAGAGCGTGGCTTTGGCACCAGTGGCGACGGGCACAGCTGTTGCGTTGCTGGTGTCGCAGGTGTAATTTTGGGTGCCGCGGCCGATGGCGACGTGCTTGAGAGTCAGGCCCGCGGACGGTGGAGGGAGGTCCTCGGCAGCTGGTCAAGTCAGTTTACGATGGTCGACCCGCGCCAGCAAGGGCCACCCACGAGAAATCATCTTGGCCTTGGTCAGGTCGCAGACCGGTTCGGCTGACAGGTACTTGAGCGCCTGGACCTTGGTGGCGAGCATGTTGAAGTACTCGGAAATATCCTCAATATTTCCCGGCAGGGCTGAGTTGAGGTTGAGGGTGGGGTATGTGGGCGCCGCCAGGGCGAGGGATGCCAGGGTTGGCACCAACAGAGTTGCGAAACGCATGTTGGTGTTGATGGGGGCGGACTGATGCGGTGTTGGTGTTGGTGATGGTGTTGCTGGTCGTCGTGTGATTGTGCCCGTTACCAACAGTCAGAAAATACAGCCCAATTCCAAGCAAGGAAACCGAAACCAAGGAAACTGAAGATAGGAAACAATGAAGAAACGGAAATGGAATGGAAAGGAAAAAAAAAAGACTCGTCTCTGAATATATGAGCTAGACTTTGTGGTGGAAAACAAACGAGTCTCAAGCAGTCAAGCGGGCAGCCGCTTTTAATGTACCACAACATCATGAACCCTCCCTCTGGCGGCAAACAGAGCGACTGGCCGCTCTCCATTTTGGCAGGGACCGACCTGCCCAGACCGGCATAGTCTCGCGGTTCGAAAAAGATGGCGGGGAGGGGGCCAGGGTCTCCCGATGTGGTGTGCAAGGCAACGCGTGGGTATTCGCAGGAGCCAGAGACCAAGACTGGCAGCCGCCCTGCCATGCAACCGTACGACGGCAGAATAGAAAACGAGCCAGGGCGGGAAGTTGAACGAGAGCGAATGGAGTGGAGGGCGGGATGCACGTAATGTCGGAGTGGAGGGTGGATGGTCAGCGATCTTCGCCGGGGTCTTTCAGATGCAAGCGCCCGGCCCGCCCAAAGGCTTGGTCGAAGTTGAGTAGCGGGGACACGTCTCCGCGGGCCTCAGAAACCCCAATAAACATGCCGCGACCGAAGAAGGAGAGGGTGATGGCTGCGACGAAGGCACATCCGTCCATCTCGAAGCCCTCGTCGCCCCAGTCTACAACCCCGTCTTCGTCCGCGACCCGCGATCTCCATCTCCAGCTGCCGCGAGACGGCCCGGTAAACGGCTCTCGCGAACAGGGCGGCTAGAGACCGAAATAGCACACCGCGTCAAGACTCGACTCCCATAGGCCCGTCGAAATTGCCAGGGACGGTACGACCTTGTACCCGTCTTCTCCCCGGCGACGCGCCCACGATGCAGGTATCCGCTCTTGTACATGCTTTTGCCGCGCCAGACCACGCTGTTGTCGCCGTCTCATTGGCTGCGGGCAGAGCCCCCATTTGGGCCGCGGAGACGGGCCAGCGCCAACAGCCTTGGTCGAATGGCGTGCCGCTTTTTGACATCGGGTGGCAGGCCTGGAAAGACAACCCGACAAGAATAGAACCGCTTGGTGGAGAGCCACGAGCGGTCGGTGCCCGATTCTTGTCCAAAAGATCTCGCTTGGCGGACGGTGCCGTCCCTGGGTGTTACGTGATCTGGTATCTTTCTGTATTGATGAGATCTCACTAATGCCACATTCACATCCGTACATAGCCAGACGCCGCCCAATCGTCCAAATGCAATATCAAAATGGTGCGTACAGGCTGGCCTCGTCGGAGACCTTGCCGTTGCCAGCCTCCTGAGACTAGTGCCCGTTGAACCCTTCTTCGTGCCAGTCGCCGTGACCGTCGCCGGCCCCATGGACGCCGCCGGCGCCCGCTGCGGCGGCTGCTGCTGCCGACTTGCCAAGGTTGCTGGCGTGCTTCTCCACGTCGACCGTGCCGAGCCAGTATAGAGAACAAAAGACGAGGAGGTGCAATGCGACACAGTACGCCGCAAATAGATTTCTGCTTGTCCGCGAGGCCAAGACCATCCGCGTCACCGAGTACACCACGCGCTCCGGGAAGCTCATTCGCTTGTAGGCCCTGGCCGACTCGCGCCCTCGGAAGGCGGCAAACGGCGAGATGTTCGATTCGTACGCCTTGCGGTACCTGTCCATCGTGATGCCTGGGTTTCCGGTCCCGCCGATCGATACCGTCGACGGGTTGGGATTTGAAGAGTATGCCGCCGAGGACGACGACGCTGACGGGCCGGCGCGGTTGTACGTCGACACGTATCTCGTCTTCTCATACAGATTGAGATTATCCTTCTGGAGGGCCGACACCTCCTGTCGCAGTTGCGAGATGGTGCGGTGGCTCTCAGATAGCTCCCCCTCTAGTTGAGTGATCCTCTTCTTGAATCGGTCGCGCTGCGCCGTGATCATCGGCAGGATACCTGAGCCACCGCCCATCGGCTCCTCGCCAACCGTGCGAGGGTTGATGCCGCTGATGATTGACGACGTGGGCGACACCCTTCCTCCGACAGGCCTTCGCCCCGGCGCGACGGACGGTGCGTACCGGTTGAAGGTGCCGGCTACGGACGCGCCTGACGGGAAGGCATTTGAGGACTCCGACTGCAGCGTCGCCAGGTCGTTCTCGAGCCGCTCGTTCAACTGCTGCGACTTTTCCAGGTCCATGTTCGTCCTGGACATCTCCTCCTGCAGCTCGGACAACTTTGTCTGGAGGTCCTGGTGGGAAACGCGTAGAATGGTGAGTTCGTCGCCAAGCTTCTTGTTACGCGCCAGAAGCAGCTTCTCGAGCGTGTCGCCTTGGCTCTTGGCTTCGGCGGCAGTCTCGGTGGCCTCTCGCACATCGTCATCATCGCCCGTGGAGAACTCGATGCTTTTGAGCACTTCGAGCTCTTGCTTCACGTCGTCGTAGTCGCTCCATTTCTGCACCTTGGCCTTGAGGTTGTCGCGCTCCTCCTTGAGCAAACCAACCTCCCTCTCCAGGCCACGCAGCCTGCTGTCAAGGTCACGCTTGAGTCCCTCCTTCTCGACCCGGGCCGCGTCGAGCTTTCGGATGAGGGACGAGTTCTCGGACCGCATGCGCATGTATCCTGGGTCGTCCTCCAAAGCCACAGGGGCTTGCGATGGCATGGACGACTTTGCTTGTGCGAGCTCCAGCCGCAGCTGCTCGTTTCGCGCCTCGATCTCTGCCAGGCGCGCGCTCGTCCGGTCCAAGTCAGAGTGCAGCATCTCAATCTCGGCGCTGGTGACGTGGGCCTGTCCCTCTTGGTCGCCGTCGTCCGTCTTGCCCAGTCGCTGGTTGACCTCGTAGCTCGCCTTGATCTCGTTGAGCAGGCGTTCCTGGTTCTCGACCTTCTCCTCCAACGTCTTCTCCTTGGACGCCCAGTTGTCCTTCTTCTCATCGAGAACAGCAACCCAGGAAGCCTCAACCTCCTTGACCCTGCTCTCCAGGTTGCTTTCGAGCT